ATCTGCACTCTGATGGAACGCCGACTTTTATCTGGCAATTTCCATTGTCTTCAGTGATATTAACACAATTGTTACCTTCAAATACAAAGCCATCATTACATCGAAGACACTTGTCTTTTGTAAATGAAAGACAGTTTGTGTATTCTTCACATATGTTTGTATTGGTATTGTATGTCATATTCTCTTTGCATTTTATACAATTGCCTTTGTCACCATCACACATCACACAATTTACATCTTGACATGCTGCACATTTCCCTTCAGCCGTTTTACCACCCTCAGAACATGGTATATGATTTTGACAGATGAATATGCCGTTTTGGAAGTAGCCCGACTTGCACGACGTGTTGTTGTATTCAAACCCATTCGCCGCAACGAGAAAAACGTTTTTTGTGATTGTGAAATTATCTAAATCTATTTGGTTGTCAGACACCATCTCAATCTCAATAAAATCGGTGAGTGACAAATCGTATTTTTCGTTTCCAATTACAATAACATTTACTTCGTTTTCTGCATTTTTTACATTTGAATTCTGTTTTGGCGCATCTACTTTGACTTTCATTTGATAAAAAGTGTCAATTGGTGTGATGTATGCATCAGTGAGTGGGCAATAATTTTCGATGTAATATGGATATAGTGTGTCTTCTGTGTGGTTCACATGACAATATATCTTATCTGAAGTACCATACCGTAATAGGTGACCATCTAAAAGTACTTTGAATGGGGTTGTGTATGATGTCGTGTCAAGAGTGTTGTTTGTGTACAAAAAGTCGAAATCACAATCATGTGTAAAACCACTAAACCCAGTTATTGATGTTGTGTTCGATACAAAAAAGAGTGGAAGATCTTTGATTGTTCTATCTGTGGAGACTTTAAATGTGCTTGTCAATGTTAAAATGAGATTTTTGGTTTGAATGGTACTTCGATTATCAGCATCAAATTCTCTTGTCAATTCAAACGATTTTGATACAAAATTAATTCGTTGTGTTGAACTCGACATCTGAAGATTATTTCGAGACAATTTGAAAATAAAAGAACCAAGCAACTCAACGTGTGAATTTTCATTGATGGAAATTTGACTGCCAACTGTCTTGGAAAACATATTTAAACATACAAGTTTTGATTTTCCTGAAAGTGTATTTGGAGATGTACTACCACTTAAAGTTACATTACCTTGCACTGAAAAGAGGGCATTTTCGGAAAGTTTAAAGAGAGAGATTACAATGTTAACATTGCCAACAGAACTCAGCATGGAATTTCCAGAAAGATTTATTGTTGATGAACTAATTTCCAATTGATTGGTTTTTACAATAGAAGTATCTGTAAGATTTATTGTTGATGAACTAATTTCCAATTGATTGGTATTTATAATTGAATTACCAGTCGCATTACACATACTTTCATAGTTCATTTTTAGCAATTCAGTAATATTTAAAACGCAATTTGATTCAAGTGTGATATATCCTTCTGAAAGTTCCAAATTTTTTTCTGTTTTCAAAGTCGAGCCAGTTGTCATTTGTAACTTACTTGATGTGATTGTTAACGACTCTGCATATTCACACACATCATTAGCAGTTAAGACATATTCAGTTCCTTCAATTTCATTAAGTGGACAATTTGAAAACGCCAATACAATCAACGCAAATATAAAAAACAATCTTATCATTACAAACAAATGATTTACAAGTTTTTTTTACTTGAATCAATAAGGTACAAAATATGTTTTTTTTGTTGTTAAAATATATATTGAAATTAATAAATCAATTAAATATGAATTGCAATTGTTCCTAATATAGTTTTTTATATATTTTTGGATAATAACATTTGTGATAAAAAACAAATACATATTGGTCGGAATATAAAATCTTTTGATATGATCTATAAATAATACTTCTACTTAAAAAAAGTTTTTACAACAAATTGTTTCTTTTTTAAAAAAAACACAATCGTTGATTAAATTGAGTTAATCTAAATACTTTATAGTTAGTTAACTATATACCGGTTAGTTAACTGGACATAATTAGCATATGAACCCAATCATAATAAATATATGTTATTATTATAATTTAGAAAAAATTTAAAAATATAACAAATATATTAAATAATATAAATTTAATATAATATAATATATAATTATAGTGTTGTATAGTTAATTAATATGTAATATAGTTATAAATAAAAAATGTTATAATTTTAGTAAATAAAAAAATATATTTTTTTTAATTGGCTGAGTAAATATATAGTTTATAAGTCAATTATTGTTCAGTTATCTTACATGGTATACAGTTAACAAACTATAATATATTATGGTTACTTATCAAATACGAAGTTTTTTTTTGCAAATAATAGACCGTAAA